GGGACGGGCGGAAGGGGCGGGGTGGGACGGGCGGAAGGGGGCGGGGCGGGCGGAGGCGGTGGGTTTGAAGAGCGCCGGGCTGGGGCTTTCTGGTTGTGACTGCGCCTGCGGCTGCGGCACGACCTGGCGGCGGTCCGTGGGCCGTCGGCGCTGCAGACGAGCGCCAGAGGCGCGGGAGGACGGGGGAGCGGGCCGAGGCGGGCGGACGCTGGGCCTAGCGGTGTTTCCATGGTGCGCGGCGCCCGGGAGGTGTGGAGCCCGCAGTTCCTTTTGATTTCAGATCCAGAAGCAACCTGAGCTCCGTTCCTGCCAAACGATATGGGTTTGGTCTGGTGAAGCATAGACTGTGGAAGAAGAGACTTGACCCGAAGCTGGTCAATGTAAGCCTGTATTTATGTATGTTTTTTAGTCCGTTTATTTGGAAGGGTGGTGGTAACGGGGCTTATTCGGTTGCAGGTGCTTGTCGCCTTTCTAGAGATCTCCGTTGCTCAAAGTTATCTCTTAACCAAATCCAAAACCATGAATCAAAAGGCAGAAATGTCATACTTAACCCAGAAGTCAAAGAGAGCAGTATATGTATGCACTACGCATGCATAACACGATTTTTTTCCCCTGTATGAGTTTAAGGAATTTTTACATGATTCATTGAGGTTGGCAGTTATTTGTGTTTGTTTTTGTTTAATCTCTGCCTCCTGGAATGGTGATTTCACAAACTAGTTTATTTTAGCAAAACGAAGAGTGTAAATTTTAACATGTATTCTTTCCATATCTACTCTACTTATCATCGTAGTGTTGCAAATAAAAGAGAAACAGGAATGGCAATTAGCAGTTAATCTCTGCTACTTGCTAAGGAGTCAGAGGGTCACATTACATATATTAGGTCATTTATATACTTTATCCCGCCTAAGAGCTCAAACTGTGTAGTTGGAAGATCTCTTTCTCCATCTCCCCTTCTCTCTCTCTTCCTCCCCATACACACACACACGTATGAATGAATTGGAACTGCAGTTGTACTATGAAAGAACGGTAGGATTTGGATATGGGAGGCGATTCCAGAATGAAATATTGGAAGTCTGGGAAACGCCTTGGAGGAGACTAACTTGGCGCATAAAGTTTGTTAGATTATAAAAGGTTTGAGAAACCAAGCAGAAAAATTTGAATTAAATGTCGTGGGTAAGGTGAGTAACTGAAGTGTTTTTGTACAGATGTTCCATGATGCATTAGATGTTTTATAAAGATTAATCTGATAGCAGAGTGTGCAAAACATATTAGAGAGGAAAGGGATGTACGACAATAATTACGAAGATATTTTACATCTACTCTTTCTCTCTGTTATGATAATCACAATCAGATGTAGCTTGTTTTGGAAAAGTGACTTTTTCTGGCCCAGTCTTTTTATCAACAGTTTTTTTAAATCTATGACTTAGATGAGAATATAGAATGCATATTTATGCTGAAAGGGACATTTAATATGTGAGGTATCAGAATGTAGATTCAAAAAAGTTCCTAGCTCTAAAATGAAAGCTTGCAACTATGAAATCAGTAGTAGAAAATACTAATCCTTGCTTACAGTTCAAATAATCAATTAGGTAAGAAGAACATGTGGATGTCCTGGCTTGATATAAATGGGTCACGTTGAAGAAGTTCTCAGAGTTTCAGTTGATCACAAATATATATTTGTCAGTGCTACAGTTGTAGACTAGATCAGCAGAGGCCACTGTCTACTGTATTAATACTTTGTCCTAGGCAGACGATATCTGGAGTCCTGAACCCAGTTTGGGCATTATATTTTAAGAAGACATTGACAAAACAGGTGTGTTTGAGGGGAAGGAGAGTAGGATGGTAAAGTTCGTAAAACAGTGTGGCTGTGTTATGTATGAGGAGTGGGTATACGTAAAGAAATTATACTTAGAGAACAGAGGGCTTAGCAGAGACATGAGAGCTTTCTTTACATTTTTGCAAGTGGTGCCGTGTAAACAGGCATTAATATATTTTATTTAGTTGCAATGACTAGAAATAGGACCAGTAGGAAAAAATTACAACAAACATATTTCTACAAGGTATGAAGAAGAGTTATCTAATTATTGGAGCCACGCTAAAGTGGGAGAAAGTTGCCTTGAGAGTTAGTGAATTCTGTCTGTTTTGGAGTGTTCAAGCAGAACCGGGAAGTTATTTGTCAGTCATCTTTTAGTATGGCATCCTACGTTTACTGGAGGTGAAGCAAGTTGCCAAAGCTTTTTAACCCTAATATTCTAAGAAACATTAGGAGCCTAAAGAAGATTTCCAGAATTGTGGGTCATTTCAATTTGTTCACAAAATTGAATGAGGGTAGGGGATCTGCAGGTGGTTAAACAGGTATTTCAGAGAGTGGCTGAGGCAGTGGCTGCTATTGCTGCTCCTTTTCCTATTACAGTTGACTGTTGCTATTCTGCTAGGTGTGGGCAGAGATATCAAAATGAAAAGGTCTTGGCTTACTGGGATCTCACAGTGTAGTGTCAGAGTTCTATAAACACAAGCTATAGTCTATATTTATAACACATTAAACTTTCTTAATGACATGGTTTTCTTTGGGAAGGAATTGCTACCTTCTTCCTCTCCACTTCATCCCATATACATTCAAGGTTGAAGACTTCCACCAAACCGAACTACCTCCATCTCTGGCACTTCCTCAGGATGCTTTTATTTGAAGTTCTAAGATGTAAATCTAAAATTGTTTGCTATCATTGTGGAGGGTTTTGAGTTCTTAAAGAGTCTTAGTGTCTCCAAGACTGTGTCTGTGTGGTTTATTAGAATCTTTCACTATATCTTGGTATTGCATGAATACTTAAGTAATACACAGAAAAAAGAGATTTCGGAGCTATGGAATTTTGCTTTGTAGTAGACTTCGGACTTGGTCCTTTGTCATTGAGAAATATATCCATAAATCTCTTTTTGAAAATAAGATGTTTATATCCTATGTTTAGTATATAATATGCTTTTCAATATTTTTTCTCCACTTGGTCTTCAAGAGACTCATTTCTGCCCATCTGCTGGGTGAATGACTTTAAGACTGCTGATGTTCTACATCCAAGTACGTGAGAATTTAAACAATTCTCAGTCAGTATACTATTTCACCTTTCCATTGATAAAGGTAAAAAAAAAAAAAAAAAAAACCTAAAGGAAATTGGCTTTAGAAAGTGTATTCTGTCCCTTTGCTTGATGTCCTCCTGTATGGAAAAGACCAAGTGTATACTATTCTTAGGGATGAATTTTTTAATATCCTATGATTGGAAATTTTTCCCTTTGTAGGTCCACAGAAAAGCTGTTTTTCTGACTATTTCTTAACTCCTTACCTTTAAAAATGTTCTATAAATTTGGGAATAGGAATACAAACAATATGCAAGTGTGACATTGCATAGTGGTTTCATCATGCCAATTTCATCAAATGTAACAATTACATTTTACCATGAAGAAATTATGTTTTAGCATTAATAAGAATAGTCATGATGTTATATTAGAATGTAAAGTTCTAGCTTTATTTAAGTGTTCCTTAATTCATTTCACTGTAATATTTATCCATCAAGTTATTTTATGTTGCAAGAGATTTGGTATGCTATTTAAAAATTTATTTTTTATCCTCTTTTGGATCTCTTACTTTTTTTGTTTATTGACATAAAATTTACATGCAATAAAATTCACCAATTTTAAATGTAAAATTTTAAATGAGTTTTTGGGTTTTTTATCAATATACAATGTAGTTGATTTTCATGTCCCTTTACCGATTCCTCCCTCCCCCCTAAAATGAGTTTTAACAGATCTATATAGTTGTCTAGCCACTGCCACAATCATATATAGAATATATGTATGTTT